GAGAGCTCTTGTTTCCTTTCCTATACTTGAAGACAATCTGAAATCACACTGATCTCCAGGCTGAGGGTGTGACTTTACTACTTCACATAAAATGCCATGAGCCACTGATACTTTTAATGAGCAAACACCTCACCACTCACATATGCTAAACATCCACATTTAACTGCAAAATACCAAGCCTAAACACACTTATGACCCCACAGGACTGCATTTTAGTCCCCTCTTCTACCCTTCTTAATTTAATTATTTTAAATAATCTTATGAAAAGACAAGTTTTCTTGGGGCCATAGTGCAAAATTTTCAATAAAATGGTGTTATGAGGGTTTTCACCTCAGAAACAACAGTAGTACTTAACAGAAGAGGGCAGTGAACAATCCAGTGTAACCTGTCCTTTTTAGACAGATTTCTGACATAGGGTCTAACCTGGCTGCAAAGCCATTACTAATAACTTTCCATCTGTTATCCAGTTCTCTTTATACTGGAAGCCTCTCCCACATAATTAATAGAAACACTGATTTAAAATATGCTTTTTAATAGTCCTTATGATAGCTTGATTAAAAAACCAACACACTAAGGTCAGGACAGCATATTAATGAAGATCTAGAGAAGAAAGTCACTAATAAAATGATCAGATACTGGAAAGAACAAATAAGGAAGATTTATATAATTTCATACATCACTTATACACACACAGAAGAAATACTTGATAATCAAGTTTAGGCATTTCAGATTTCCTATCTCAAAATGACAATAATGGATGAGTCGCAGACCACCTCCACAGCAGAAAACATGTAACAAGTTCATTTGTTGGTTTTAAGAGCTTAGCGACTACAGTCACGGATGCCTCATAACTAACTAAAATAAGAACAGATTCATTTTGGAAGTCAATAAGAGATAGAGAGAAATTTCAGGACAGTGAATATATTCCCCACATTCTCCCATCCACACAGACTGCTTATTGCTAAAAGAAAATTAAAATGTCCTTTAAAATTATATAAGAAAAAAACAGAATGCTATTAGGAAGAAATAAAAATCTAGCATTTGACATGACTACAAGTATCTATCTATAATTGTAATAGATACACCAAGTTTTTTTGCTCTGAGTGGAAAGCCAATTTTATACGGGCTGAAAGCTGTTCAAACATCTTTAAATGGCTTCGAGTCAACATGAATGATCAGAAAAGGGGACTTTGGGCAGTAGGTCTCAGAGCTCAGTCAGAAGGGGTAGCTCAGCAATGTCTCAGTTCTATCCTCGCCCTTTTCCCTTCCCTGGGCATTGATGCTTACCTAATCCCTTAGAGAACCAAGTCTGGGCACTGATCTGGAGGAATTATTTACTTTTCTACATATGGTGAATTTTCTGATGGTTTAGCTCTCTGAATCAGTTCCCTGAAGAGTCAGATGTGTTTCCACCAAGGAAAAGAGTGGAAATACTGGACTGTGACATGTGGGAAAAAGCAGATAAACAGGGTTGTGGCAGTGCTGATTTAAACAGCTTAAATGCTCATAAACTGTACCCTAAAAGACACGCTTTAAATCTACACAAATCTAACAAAAAGTGCCCTAACGGTACAGGCAGATATTTTTCCTGAGATAGAAGCTCGTTGTCATCTCTATTTTAAACCTCTGACTTTAAAGCAAGTAGCAATTACTGTTATTTGATTTAATCGTAAATTTCCCAAGCTTTTAAAATACTTGAACTTGGCAAGACCTTTATTTTCTTCTTAATTCTGTCAGCCACTTAAAATCATCAAAACCAAAGAAATCTACCAATGATAATTATGAAATTGCTGTGAAAGCTTTTACTTTGTTAGGCAAATGTTATTTAAACTTTTTTTCCCCCCAAACCATGGGCTTTTTTTGTTTGTTTTCCTCTGTGATGAAGAGCTCTCTTAATTGCTCTCTTAAGGCAACCTCTCCCCCCATTCCTATCAAGAAGCTTCCAATGTAAGTTTTAGCACCTAATACAGGACTTCCATTCCCAACCAGTCAGACTAAGCAATCTGAAAATAACAGGTTGATCAGAAATAATTGTCGATGTTGAGTACGCATGATACTCAACTGCACCTGCAAATCCGCAATTGCTGCAGATCAGTGAACTTCTGTGGCTGACATAATGGAAGATAAACCCCACAACTTCACAGGAAAGTGATTTCACTAGTCTATCCCTTAGCCTGTACTAAAGACGTATGCATTTTTCATCAGTGACACAAGCCCTACATGCAGGGCTCGAGTGATCATTACTTGAGGACAAACACAGGCCATCTCACTACTCTCTTCGCTGAAGGTATGTGGTTGTTTACTTTAGAGAGGGCTGGCAGAACTCAGCCTGTACCTTCACACAACAGCATGTAGTAGTTCAGTGAAAGCTTTAACAGGAAATGACCTACCAGCTATCATTTATTTAAAAGTGTTTCAGAGTAAGTTTATCATACCATTATTTTTACCATGAGATTAGCAAATATTATAACTTCTTCAAACAATTCTAAAAAAATAAACATTCAAGCAATTGTCCCAAACTCAGTAAATGCTTAGAGACTTGCTGAGCTAACACAGAAGGTGCATGCTGATACAAAACTTAACCCCCATGACAAGGGAAATATTAAAATTACTACTATAATAATTATATAATAATTTTAAGATGAGTTAATCACTAGCTGAAATACTGCGAGATTCTATCCTGAAAATCATTTCAGTGCAAGAACAGAAACATTTACCATATTCACCAAAGCGAAGGGACTCCCACTGCTGCCATTCCACAATGCTACTGACTGCACGTATACCAATGTAGATCAACAGCATTCCTAATGTAGCATCTAACAAGAAGTTGATAAGGTACCTGAAAGGAAAAAAATGTAAAAGAAAACAAGGAGCAAGGGTCCGTTTTCTACAAGTTCAGTGTATTTTAACACCACGATTGGTAAGGGATGTGTATATAAGCTGAGCAGCCACAGTATTGGAGAATCATCATTTATGCAGTTCTGTAATTACTTAGCCTAAAATTGAAATAGTTTTAGAAGAGTCTCAGTATTTTGTTTCGGTCCTTAAAGTTAAGCTCCAGCTACTATTTTTGTGAACTCTGGTGTGTGCATGTGCATAATCTACATTAAACTCCAATATTCATTTTACTCCTTTAAATTAAAACCATTTCCTTTTTACCATTGTGCATTTTATTCTGTATGGAAAACCTGTATTTGAATAAAAACAAAGGAATAAAAAGAAATAAAAAGAGAAGTTATCTTAAATGCATCTCAAGGAATTTGAAGGTAAAAACCCAACCAAAACCACTTTCATTCTGAGGGGGAAAGACACCACAACTAGACGGTTTTTCTTGCTCAAGGGAACCCCCTCCTAGCCTCAACAAGGACGAATGTGCAGTGGAATACCATGCCTACAGAGTACAGTCACCATCTAGGCCAAATTTCAATTTATTTGGTGTTAGGAAGAAAAGCGATTTACTTTCCTGCACTTCAGTTCTTGCCTAATAAACATTTGAAATAATCAGGAACAAGCCTTCCCAGAAAAGAACCCAAACCACCCCTCAACGGACACACAACTGTTGCACTACTAATTTTATAGTTTCAAGAGAAGCTGCTGGATGTTACCTATAATTCAAGAAACCTGAAATTACTGTGTGTTTCAGATTATTCTTAGGTTCATTAAATGGTGCAGCTGAAATTCAGAGCATTTTGTTAAGTCAGCTTGGTTTATTTACTATCACTAGTTTCAGCTGAAGAAAACAGCAGTTGAGAAAGAGCCAGATATAAGATGCAGAGTAAATCCCTGTTACTGAGATTCTTATTTGGTAATTCCAAATATTTAAGGTAAACTCTATAGTCTGTAGGAACTGCAGGGATAAAAATAGCAAATCAGAGGCCTGTGGACTTCTGCTGGCTGTGTAGCCAAATCCATGCGGACAAGATAGCAGCAATGTGGCAAGTGAAAACAGAATACATGCATTCAAGCAGTAACAAAGAGCTGTTCTGACCTTCAAAACCCCATTCAAGAGCATCCCAAAAATAAAACCGAAGCAGACATGCCTTGCTTCAGCTAAGAATTACTCATAAACTTCCTAAAAAAATACTTTTCTAATAGTTGTGTCTCAAATCAGAGTTTTAATGTGCTTCGTATTGACAAACACTAAAAATCCAGGTTTAGTGTTTGGCAGAGGAAACTCAGCAATTACAAGTGCACACAAGTCATTTTAAGGCCACAAGGGGCTGCTGTAAGTCTACAGCAGGAAGGCAGCCATCAGGAGCAGGGAGAAGAGATGTGCCAACACCTACTTCACATCAAATTACAGCTCACAGCACAGGCCAAGTATGCCTGATACTCCCAAACCCGTCAGGCTCACTACATGCAGGCAACATGCTCATTCAGCGATGCACTGCATTAACCCTGCTCACATGTAACCCGTGCACAAACAACAAAACAAGTTGCTGCCACTATCGGATAAATGCATTTGGCCGAGAATTCAGGGAGTTAATGGCTGCGTTCATATAAACTTCCTGGTGTATTGCATACAGCCGGCTGAATACCCTGCACTACAGAAGAGAAGTGCTGTTTGTTTTTGCTATTTAAAATTCTTCAAACAACGACCCATCTGTCAAGATGTTTTAACAGATGTTTTATCAGTTGTGATATTATCACACACCTGCCTGAATTACAGCACTACATTCCCAAACTAATAAATGGAACTTCCAACTGTAGTTCTTTCCAAGCTTTGGACAATAATGTTTTCTAAAACTACATTTTCTGGGTTTGTTCTGAAAATAACCCACTAACTACAAGGCAGGAAAGAACAGAAAACTATCTACATTTGAATATGCCAAGTAAAATTATTCTTATTTAAAACTCAGACAGAAACATTGCTTTTACTCACTAATTTTGACCCACTTCCACACTTAATATATTTTTCCCAAGAAAGGACAAGTGGCTTTGCTTAATACTACACGCTACTTTTTCTGCTAACAAGCAGGACCTGCACCCTTGTCTGAGAAATTATACTACTCCACATTACAATTTTTGTAATCCCGAGAACAGTGAATAACAGTTCTCTACATCACCCTCTTCCATGTTTTGTGCCATGGTACACTTACACGAGAAGTGGTATTTGAAAATATAGTTATGTAGGTAATATTATTCCATGTAGAAAAGAACACAAGTTAGTAAACTTTTTATTTTGAAAACCCAGAACATAGTACAAAGTTATTTTAAATTTTAAAATACTGTAATAAACTACTATGCTTTAAAAACTGAAATTTTAGACACGCTTTGGTTAGCTTATTTGAATATATAGTTTATTATATAAAATTGAATGAAAGCAATTTGCACCTGCCAGTTTTTGGATCTCTCAGGAAATTCTTAAACCGGTAAGCAAGGAAGATCCTCCAGTGATGCCTGGTATTCTTGAAGTTGTCATAATTTTAATTTAAAATTTACAGTTAGTGTGTTAAAATAAATGCATCTTCCTTAACAAAATTCTTAGTGGTGGGAAGAGAAAAAACAGTGTTTTACTTGCACATTTATAGCATGCAGGAACACAAAACTGAGGAGGAATAAGGGAAATAAAACAGGCTTGTGAAGCAACACAAGCATATTCCTTGAGCTGCCTAGCTCCTTTGTTTACCAAAGGACAACAGTGAGCAGATGCCATTGAAGGAACTGGATTGGTTTTAAATGGCAAATTATTAGGCTTTTAAAAGTAATTTCACAGCTTCTATTACCAGGAATATGTAAGCTTCTTTGAGCATGAGCCCTATCAAGAACAAACCCAAGCAATTACCATTTGCTTCAGGAGCTCCTGTAAAGAGCCTGAGGGGGTCTTAGTCATAAAATCTTCAGGTTTAATATACTACAGTGAAATGCTTATCTACTTAGTCACACTGCTCCAAGCGTGACATTGCAAAATTAATTTTTGTACTAACTGCCTGGGTACTGAGCAAGATTTCCTGCTTTTAACAAAATGAAAATAATAAAGCAGTAGCTAATGTAGGTTTTAGAAGAAAATACAAGCATCAATGATTTTTGCTAAATATCCCTGAAAGCAACCTGACTTTATATTAAAGCCCTGCTGTGGTGAACAATGCAGTTGGAGGTCAGTGTACACAACTTTATATTCATTTCTTTTGGTCCCTAGCACCTCCTTCAGTAAACAGTCTCATACTACAATGTGCATCCTAATTCCTCAACTGGAAAAGTAGTAACAAGAGTTGGTCTAAAATACCTATATACAGCCCAGAAAAAGCTTTCCCAGGTCCTGCCAGACATGAACTTGTGAGGAGAACTCCCAACTTGATTAATTAAGCTTAATCGGAGTTTTTTTGAAAGTGACTGACTTGTACCATGAAAATTGGTTTCTCAGCTCTATTTTGCATTATCGTTCATGTACACCATCAAACTCAACTGCAGAAATTCCAATTATTCTGAAGTTAAACACTCACAGTGAACAAGGGTCTTCTTCTGTAAGGTCTGATAAATAGACATTTGCGAAGTGGATGAACAACATCCCTATGGCTTGCTTGGAAGTATCTAAAAACCTGTATAGAGTAAAAACAGTTTTTAAGACACACAAAACTGTTTAGAGCACAGCCAGACATGGCAAATTTGTCTTAATTGAAATTCCATCTCAGTTACTCAATTTCTCTTCAAATGAGAACACCAGAATGATAAATTGTCATGGTATTTAGCTTATTTAACAATGTTCCATTTTAAACTCTGCCCCTTTTTTTTCTGGAATATTGCTAACAACAAACCAAGTCGTACCAACTTGAAACCTTACCACTGTAAATTTAAAGTCTAGGGATAACCTCTTGTATCGTATGCATTATCCAAGAGCTAATCCTCACTAAACCTAGCTAAGTCTTTAATAACCTTCTGTAAACAATGAGTATCCCAGCCTGGCTAGATACTTCAGTTCTTTTGTGTTTATGCATTTTTAGCAAGTATATAGCACTGACAAAAAGAAAATCCTCATGTGCTTGTTGATGAACAATTTAATAGCTGGTTAATGAGTCCCTTATCTACAGTATTTTGCTAAAAAGCCAACATATTTTTCACCTGAAAGCATGAAGTGGTCTCACTAAATTTTATCTGTAGTACAACAGCTTAGACCACAATGTAAAAGAATTAGAAACCTTGAAAGCATTATCTCCAAAGCAGATGACAGAGTTAGACAGAAAACAGCTTGCTACTTACAGGGAAAACAAAAAACCCCACTTAGGTACTGATTCAGTATTGACTTCAGCCCTTACCAGCTTTACCATCCTTTGCACAGACCCAAAACTTCCAGCAGACTCTTTATTAAATGTTAAATATAGGAATCGTGTCGAAAGTACTTTTTGGGCAAGAGTGTGTTCTTTGTACAGACCAACACCCATTTTGCCTGTTGTTTCCATGTGTAAAAGATCCAAACAACTTCTTATGCCCAAATTCATTTCCTCTCCCTGACAACTTTGTCTTAAACTTTATTCTCATGCATTCCTTGCACGACATACAAAGCAGAGTGTTGGAGATGAGGCAGGAAGCCAGTGAGTTACTTATCTAATCAGTAACCATACTATAAATAACAATCCTCAAGTCCCAGAACAAAGGCTATTACCGCACTTCTCAGTTTCATGCTAAGGTAGACTGTAAGTACACAAAGATTTTGTATTTATTTTTTCAACAAAATAAAGGTCAGGACTAGTTTTGAAAAGCAGCACTGCGAGAGATTAATTTAAACCACTGAAGTCTTCAACAACTGGAATGACAGTTTAACATTTACACCAGTCTCAAAGCTAGTACAGGTTATGTTTACATAACTACAGTCCAACAACTTCTCAAAAGTAATAAAAACAAATACACTTTTTAATACTTTGTATTCTTTCATGGCTTATGTATTTATATCTTTTACCATACTGGTTTTTATCTTATACATAGTAGGATAGGTACAGAACATGGAATTTTGTTTAAGCCCAGCCAAGAGCTTCTTGCAAGCCTATGTAAGTTTGTAGATGTACAGATGCATCTTAGGGCAACTGAGTTTCCATCAGCAGGAAGAAGTAAAACCTGAAGCTTTATGTCTAAATGCACATCTTTGTACAGATTCCTGGAAGTGTTCAGTAAGAAAGAACTAGCAGCGAGACACAAAGAAGTTAACTTTTTGTTGACTCATGTATTTTGGCTTTTCTTGTCCCTCGCTGTTAGTCACCAACTTCTTGTCATCACTTTTTTCCTTTTTTTGATAATCATATGCAAACAATCATTCCTTCAATTTCTAAAAACACAAGAAAAAATAAGAATAAAGCATGCAGAAACATACCATATCCTCCAGGGACGTCTTTCATGCTTTGGTTCTCTGAAAAAAAAAAAAAAAAAATGTAGTTGAAGACAATCAGCTAATCCCAAAGCTACAAGTAAAAGCAAATAATCTTCCAGAAACATTACATTCTTTGATAAATTAGATCCTACACAACTGTATTTCAGTTTATCCATCTCTAGGGACACATTTTTAAAGAAACTAGCTTGCTTCTATCACTTTCAAGTTCCTACAGATCTATCGTCTGACTGCCAATATACCTCACATGAAAAAATGAACTCGTACTGACCACCATTTCATTGGCCTTAGCTTTTACGACTGTCCATCCAGAAAATTTAATTTCCAATAGGAAAACAGGTATTAGAAAAAGCCATTTCTTTTGCTCACCGGAGACCAAAAGTCAAATTGCAAAGTATTCTCACAATATTAGGGCCAATCTGTAATACCAGAAATAGATCAAATGAATTAGTAACAGGGCAAATACATTCTTTATTGATGGCAATACATTCTTTATGGATGACAAATAAGACTTCTGTGGGCAAACTGAATTGCAAAAGGAAAGCACGACAGATTTTTTGAGTCAGATAATCCTTTCATAAAAAGGTTGATACTTTTTAACATACTAAAAAAAAATAAATCCAGTATTAAAATTAATGCCAACTATCCAAAGGCAAAAAACCCAGATAAATTTGACTAGTTTAATCTTGATACAGTTTATCAATACAAATTGTTCAGATATGATAGAAAACAACTCTGCACATCCACAAAGGAGGGGGAGCCAAATCACACCTTGCCCAGCTACTCCCTGGTCCATCCCCACAAGCCCAGAAGGAGCAGAAGCCCAAAGGCAGATGGGGCAACACAAATGACAGACATGGAAGAAGGGGTGGCTGTCCCAGAAGAGCCTCAGCCCCACCAGTCAGGGGTGACACCCACCCTGGGGAGCCAGCACTGGAGCATCTTTGGGAGGGAGGTGGTCAGTGCATCAGGTATGGGATGCAGGGGAAGTGTTTTGAGATTGCACAAGACTTACTATAGGTTGTTTAGGGGAGGAACCAAAGGCAAAGAAAGGGAAGGATGAAGGACCTAGCTGACTCATGGAGTAACAAGTGTGAGAAAATAGAGGGATAAGGGGATTAAAAATAGATGCTTGCATGTAAACAGTGGATTGTCCATACACTTGTACTGTCTGATATGCAGTTTATCCTATCTTCTTGGGAAATTCCATTTCTAACTCTTTCTGGGCAAGAAAACCTTTTTCCCTACTGGGAACACAGGTTCAGCTCTGCCACGGGTCAGACCTGGGGCAGGGAGCTGCAGCAGCCTCACCTATGCCAGATCTGGCCTGATGCTGTAAAACAGATTTATTTTCTGCTACAGCTGCAAGATACTAATTCCTTATATATCCCAAAGGCAGAACAAAGATAACATGGTAATGGAAAACCTTTCCACTAAGGATGAGTGTAATATATGGGTTTTACTACCTTCTTCTATCCAAGATTCAGTGTCACTCATCAGTTCCTTCAACATAAGTCTTGAAAAAAAATTATTTAGGTTCTTATTTCAGATCTTTAAAAAAAAATTTTTTCTTTAAGCCCCAATTCCCCTCCTCCCCTTCAGCTTGCGAGATTCTGTCTTAAAAGTCACAAACTATAGCAGGTATGAGTCAGGCAGAACATCAGTAGATATTTTAACTTGCTTCTCCACGTATTAGTGATGATTTAAGTTTCAAATAGGATACTGTATATAACTTATGCTTACCTCACTAGGCACTAAAACACCTTTCGGTTTATAAACCAGTCACAATCTTTTCACAAGTAAGGCAGTTTTCTCCAAAGCCAATCATCCTCGTACAATACAGCATTAATTCCCCAAACATCTTAATGTAAATTTATAAATAAAATAAAATCCACCTCCAAGGCAGAGGGGAAACATTTGCAGGGAGCACAAAGTTAACAACTTGCCATTTTACTGTCTGTCAGTGCTTCTCACAGGAGAGAGAGAAACTGTGTTTCGACCCCATATAATACAACCATTAGAAATTAAAAAGTGAGAAGAGGAAAAGACTGTACATTTACACCAAAGATAAAGTTGTAATAGCAACATTTGCCAGCAGTTTTCTCTGTGAACAGCATGCCATAAATATAAAACTTCTGTTAAAAATGAGCAACATGCAGCTAAATTAACCAGTTTGCTCTTTATGACAAGTCCTCCACAGTCACACTATGGACTACTTTAATTAGTGTCACTTTTGCACAACAGAAAGCCAAAGCATCACTAAATAAATGCAAGGAACAGAAGTATCAACTTACTATGGAGTTTGTGCAAGATGCTTTTCTGCAGACAAAATAGAAATCAAACTGGTAAGATCTGCATACTTTGAGGGGTGAGGGGGAATTTTAAGCTCAGGCTTTTGTCTATTATTATGAGGAAGTTGTATAAGCCTGTGGATTAATTTCTTTCTCTAAAGCATTCACAAAAAAAATCATTTTCACCAAAAAAATCATTTTCAATGAACATATTCAAAACTAATTCAACTAACACCATTTCAAATTCTATCCATACTAAGACTTCAGATGGTCCATGTTTCTCTGGCCAGTTCTGAAAACATAACATTTCATTTGAGTTAACATTAAACAGGAGAGTGAAAGCCTCTACAGATTTCCTTCAGGAATGTATTAAATGGCTGATCACACCATAAACTTCTATCCCCTCAAATGAAATGAGATAATCTGTTTAACTGCTTTAGTACTTGCTACCTGATGAATATGTACCTGTACACTCGAAAGCCCAGCAGATCCATATGAAACAGGATTGTTTTCTCAGCCTAGTTTCTGGCAGCTCTCTGTCCGTGAGCATCAGGTATTTCTAACACACACAGATACCATAAGGTATTTTCCTGAATACCCCTGATGCAGTATCCAGGTTATGCTGCCTACCCAGCACAACATACTATCACATCAGAGTGGCTGAAGTTGAGAGCAATTTAACTTCTCCCCCAGAAGGGAGTGCGTTTTCTGTATGGCTGTTGACAGCTGGGGCCTTCTCAGTAAGTAAACTGAGCAAAAAAGCAACAGCCTGTAGAAAACCACACTGGTAAGCTCAGGGTCCATAGCATGTTTGCTATTAGTAAATTAATTTTGCAACCAAAAAGCCAGCACTTTTTTTCAAATAAAGATTCTGTAAATTTTTAAAGCATATATCAAATTGGAAGATACTGCTTTTCCCTCCCCATTTGCCCTCCCTCAAAATATGTCACGATTATAGATGCTCTCAGCCCCACTCACAGTTTCTCTTGGCAGTCTGCATTGCCTCACTGTAAACTCAGAGACATGCACTGGTACATGTGTCTGCTGACAGATGGATCTCAATCTGCCAGCTTCTCACTGTGAGGAGGTGGTACCACTCCATATGCTTCAATTCGGAGCGTTATTCGCGCACTAGCAAGAATTCACCACATTTAATATTAATTAACTAATAATGTTCAGCATTTCATGCTGAATTATAAATGAAGAAAGGAGTGCTGCTTGTTTATACATTCAATGCCAGAATTTTTCAGGAAAGGAAATAAAAGCACTTCTGCCAACAAGCATGTGCACTGCCAGATGGACAGATAATAGATAAGCATATAAGGCAGAGTATTGCTAATGCAAAATTCAAGTTCATTAAATTGTCTTCCCATTTCATTGAAATTCTAGGAATAATTAATGCCAGAGTACTGTGGAAGGGTTTCTAACAGTTACTTTAACATAGGAGTTTCGCAATCTATTCCACAAAACTGAGGACTCATAGGGAAGAATAAAGGCTATATATAAGAACAGACATATATATAAGAACAGATAGAAGAAATAAAGTAAAACCTCTCCAAAGTGTCAATATGAAAAGCAACACTTGAATCTGTACTTAGAATTCAGCCTTTTCTTCTCTCCCTTCTTCACCTCCCCAAAAAGTCCCACGGGAGTTATTTTGCTGATGTGAAGTAACTTCAATATGGATTCAAGAACTCCAAGTTTACAGATGGCTGCTCTTGTAGCGGCACAAAACTGGCCCAACTCAAGCGTTTGAAATGTTTCTATGTATCATGTATTACTGCATTTCTCAGACACATGTTCTGGCAGTTCACAGTAAGAATCTTTCTGATTCCAGTAAAGATCTAAGGAAACTTCTCTAGCTCATCAATTTGAAATTCAAAAAAAAAGGGAAAATGAACTAAAGAATATTAAACATGTATGATGTCCTCTGCAGCTGTACTACAATAACACTGCTCTTCTGATGAGAGAATTGGGAATTTCACTGTATTTCTAGTGCTTCTCAAAACTTTTTCAAAAATAGGTCATAGACAAAGCATGTTTTGTTTCTGGAATGGGCTGCCCAGGGAGGTGGTGGAGTCCCCATCCCTGGAGATGTTTAAGAGTCGGGTTGACCCAGCATGGGGGGATATGGTGTAGTTGGGAACTGTCAGTGTGAGGTTAATGGTTGGGACTGGATGATCTTCAAGGCCTTTTCCAACCTTGATAATTCTGTGATTCTGTGTAAGCTTCCTACACATTTCTGTCATCAGACCCTAGCAAAGCAACAGCTGAGCTAGCCAGACAGAAGAAGAAAACCAAGAGGAGGAAAGGTTAGTAAGGATAAGATCACATTTGCACACCCCACATGCAAACCTGCTCATTCATGCACAGGGCCAGTTTCAGCAAGGACAGAATCTGACCCTTCTCACAGGTGCACAGGCAACAGGCATGAGGAAACAGCCACAAGTTGCAATCATGGAAATTCCAGCATGATAGAAGTAAAAAATTCTAGTGAGAGCAATTAAACTCTGGAACATGTTTCCCAGAAAGGGTGCAGCGACTTTCAGTTTCACAGATCTTAAAAATTCACCTGGACAATGCTCTGAGCAAGGGAACATAGACTGGCTCTGCTCTGAGCAGGAGGTGGAGGCAGGTGACATTTGAAGTTCCTTTCAACAAAAACTGATCTGTAAGTCTAAAAATCGTCTTGCTGTGATATGACAAGATTTGAGCCAATGACCAAAGCATGGCTAACTAAAATCACACAGATTTGTATATATGTCTGCACAGAATCTAATAGTGAGAAGTCTGCTGCAGTTTGAGCTTCCATACAGTGTTATATCACAAGAGTGTTGAATCTCCTCCAGCAGGTTGGTTTTACTGGGCTTCCTGAATAAGGTGTTGCAACCAGATAGATCCTCCAACACAGCCCTCATAGTGCAAGACTTGTGTGATCTGTGGGGTTACTTTGACATTAATTCACATAGTTTCCAACATTTAAGATAAGCATTAAAGTTTCCAGTAGAACACTATTTTGTTAATAATGTATGGAGCAACATCTGAAGAGTTAAACCAAGCACTAGCATCCAAACTCAGAGTCAGATGCAGAATTTCATATGGCTACTCTCAGGCAACTGAACTATTTTCAGAACATTTGGTTATCAAGAGAACATATGCATCATAATTTGATCCTGCAAGTTATAACCCTATAAAAATCTTGTCAAATCAACTACATATGCAGGCCAGATTTCATCTTTTTAAAGTTTTATTTAGGAAGACTGTCAAAAACACTGATCTGCTTGTTAATATCAACACTTTTCCCACAACAGTGGGAACTATGACTCTTTTGAATAAGCACATGCACACTAATAATTCCTGAAAATTCACACCACCATGGAACAACAACTATATGTGAATTTTGTTATACCCATGATCTTTATCATACATTTGAACTTATCTCCCTTTCCCACTAAAGCAAAGCTTTTAAGAGGCTTGCAGTTTTACTTTAGCCTCCCCATTATTTTCATGGTAGCAGCAAAGAGGGATAAGAAATCACGGATTTCCTCAAGATAGAATTTTCCTTTTTTAAATTAACTTTGCAAGAAACAATATGCCTAATGAAAATGGGCTAAAACGATGCCTTACAAGAAGGTATACCAGTGTGCAAACCACGTATCATTTGACTGCCAAAAGCTTCTGTGACACCTAAGAGCTCAGCATTTCCCTATATTCATAGTTTAAGAAAACAAAAACATGGAGGGAGGGTGTGTTTAAAGAGAGGTAATAAATATGACTACAAAAAAAGGCCAGAAGAACCAGCTTGCAGATCATTTTTCCATGCAAAAAAAGAATATGCACTGTGTTCTCAGCAATTCAATTTTTGCCCAACTGCAATTCCTTGTTTTCCCATGCCCCATTAACAACTACTAGACACTCAAATACAGGGGACCTTGAAAGTCTGCTGCTTATTTCCCCTACATAAGAACCCCCAAATCCTTCATTGTATTTTTTCTTAATGACCTAGACTTGCCAACACTCTTGGACACTAATTATACTAAAGCAGAAATTATAATGGATTGGAACTGATTTTCAGCTACATCCAGTGGTACAGCTGTATTGGAAAAGGATACCAGGAGCCACGGTTTCTTCACGATGAAGACAATTATGGAATAAGTCACTCAAAGGAAAATTTTGTTTGAGTCGATATTAAAGACTGACATACTATGAAGTGCATGATCTCACCTG